AGTCCCTGAAGATTATTTGTTCTTACGGAGGCACCCCATGGTGCATCGCAGGGACGTGATAAATGCCGTAAGTGTGAGATTGGAGTCTTGAGCTTTTCATAGTGTTCGAATTCTGATGTGCTTCTGTTGTCAGTCGTTACGTGTCTTGAATCCGACTGAGGCCTGAGCATGGTGTTTAAACACTAACAGACAATCATTTTGTAAAGCTGTGGGGGTTTTTGTTCTTTTTCTTTTTTTCTTCTCCTCCCAGCAGCTCTGAAGTAGTTTTATTTATGACAGTATGTACATAAATGAGAAAGCAAAACAGAACGGCTGGTTGTACTCCGTGGCTTCTGAGATGCAATTCTTCTGAGAATGAGTTTGAGCGGACAGGCGAGTACTGCGTAGGGCAGTATTGGCAGGGACTTTCATCTGAAAGCACGTATTTGATTTTCATCTAAACTTCTAAATTCTTGAGCAAAATCAAAGAATGTTGTACTAAATAGATCCGTAGATTGCAACAACAATACCCGTGGGCTGTGATCCAAGAATTTTTCAACCTAAAATTCCATCTACTTCCTTACTTCACTTTTTTTCTTTTAGCTTCTTCTCTCCAGTCAATAAGCTCTACCTCTCTTGCTTCCCTAAATCTAGGCCCAGACAACGTCAGGCTCATGTAGCTATACTGCATTTGTTTTCAAAAAACATGCTTGTCTTCAGCACTTGTGTTGTTTCCTTTTCCTCTTCTCAAGCTTGGGATATGCTGTCTTGTTGGAGAAGGTGAGAGTGGTTTTTGTACTGTCATTTAGGACAAGTGAAATTTCTTAGCGTCCTTGCACTACAAAGTTGAATTTTTGTTTTAGATTTAATGTGAATTATGAACTTAAACTATTTTGTAGGCATTTTCCTTCTATGTATAGTGCTTATTTTCAATGTAATTTTTCAGTGAGCTATTTTTCCATGTGATTTGTGCATCATTAACCAATCACATCTGAATCCTGGATTTTTTTTTTTTATTCTAGTTCATAAAATGTTTTATTGAACTTAAAACCCCATAATATATTTTTGGACAAGGACCAGAATTACAGGATATTTTCAGAAAACTTTAATGTCATCTTTCATTAGTTTAGCGTGAAGCTCACTTGTGTTTTCTAGTTTTTGTCACTTGTAGAGCAAGACAAAGCAACTAGAGTACTAGCCAATTTAATGGTGTTTGTAGTGATTTTACATAGATAGAACATCCCAAGGACAGGAATAAACAGAGGGCAGGCGGCCTTTCACTTGCTATTAGTCTTTATTTCCTTATTCTGGGAGAAAAAAAATCAAATTTGAGATTCAAGACACTTTATTTTTAACTGATCATCTGAAGTTGGGCGTAAATTTATGTCAGGAAAAAAAAAATTGCTAGGCTTTGTTTTACAAACTAGTCCTTTATTTCACAATTCTTTGGTCTCTTCAGAGGTATTAGCTGTTTTATCCTGCCAAGAAGAATTGATAATCACTGATAATAATTATTTCCCCTAAATAATGAAAGACAATTATTCATCACTTCTTGCTAAAACAGAATCTTCAGCTTTCAAACGAATGTTATTCCTAATAACTATTCTGAAGTTGAATGTAGCCTGAGTGTAAGAATTTCTGCTGTAGGGGAAGTCCGAATAGACTTTCTTTCCCTCACAGTCTTGAAAGGTATGACATGTCATGCCAAACTGAATAAAAATTAAGCCTTATTTCACATATTTAACTCTGGGAAGGAAGGCATGATATTAAAAACCACCCTCCTCTACCCCTGAAAAAATAACTTGCCCAAAACAATCCCTCCTTCCCTCTGAAAAAAGACCCTCAGATGTTTCTGATCAAAATTCGTGTCATCCGGAAGTACAGAACCATGACTAATGTCTCTATCTAATAGAACACTATGAACTTTCTAATGTGACAAATATCACAATATCTGTCATAAATAGGAGCTGATGATTAAGTTTTGTAGATACTGCAATGGAGGAAGCTGGACAAATTTGTGCATTTTACTTGGCAAACATGCTAACTTCCTTAACATAGATTGTTCTGTATTTGTGCATTCGAGTGTTATATTACTTAGTGATGGTGTGTGGTGCACGGGGATAGGATCGTAGAGGACTTACATAAATTAGAATATGTGAAGTTCTGACTAATTTAAAAAAAAGAATTTTTTAGCGTGAAGTTGATCAAATATTGGAACAGAGAGGCAGAGGAGTTGTGAGATCTCCATCCGTGAAGATATCCAACACTTGCCAAGTTCCTATGCAGCCCTTTCGAATTGGACTTGCTTTTCTGAGGAGGTTGGACTACATGGCCTCCTAAGATCCTTTCCAGCATACATCATTGTATGCTACTAGAAAACTTTTCTGATCTGTCTAAGATATGCAAAACATGCCTGCCACAGCATCTCCCGGGGCTCTGGATATCCGATCATCAAGTAAAGGAGTCCTTGATTCACTGCACTGCTTCTCCCACTTCTGAGACCAGCGAAGTAAGAAAAGCAATAAAGAACAAATGCATGACGAGTCTTTGTCCCAGCATATAGTTGAAAGTTAGTTGAGGTACCCAGGAATTGAAAATATTTCTGACCCTGAGGACTAAGCAATCTTTTGTTAGCTAAAATTGTTGCTTTGCAAGATAATCATCCATTCCGTAAACATGGACAAGATGGTACATTGCTAGCCTAATTTCATACGTAGTGTTTCTTATTGCCTAGTAAAACATGTACTACTTTGTTAATAATGGCCTGTTTTCTGCCCTATTTTCCTAGCTTACTGATGCCACTTTGAATTAACAATGCAGATAAGAAGTTACTGTGAACAGTTAGATCCTTCAAAGCAATTCTTCAGGTTTTTTCTTCTGTTGAAAAGACAAACAATCTGAAAGCACAAGGTAAAATCTGAAGATTGTGTAATTGCTTAGCTAGAGACTGAGGACTGAATGAATGAAGTGAATGAAACGTCTCTCAAGTTTGGAGAGTTTCATATGTTGTGGAAAAAATGGCAGGACAAGTAGCAGCCAAGGTGTAGTTGGAGTGATGATGCTGAGAGGCCATATAGCAGCACTCGGCGTAGCTGGCAGGGGAGCTTGGAACTAGCCCACGTGCTCTCTAGTTTTGACGTGGTCTTTGTGCATGTATTTGAACTTATGAACATGCAAACGTTGCAAAAAGTTTCAGGACACCGCTAGCATTAGATTCTGCAGTACAGGGAAAACTTCTCATGTTCAGGTTTTTGTTTATGGGCTCCTGCACCCTCGTATTTGTCTTGCTTCTCTAGGTACACCTTTTTTCTGAATTGGCAGGAGGCAATGGCAGCAGTAGATAACAGGCTTAGACATATTTATCCACGTGTAATACCTACTTTTGATGGGTACCAATACCAGGCACCATTCTCACTCACCCGTATTGTGGCTCTGCCCATAGGTATTTGCTATGTTTGTTGAAGTCATGTCAACTTACAAGTTCTCCTGTTTAAAAATTCTGTTAAAAACGATGTGCTGGCTTGGTTTATTTTGGGACACTTCTGTATAACAAATTCTTCATCTGTGGGAGGTTCTTTTTGTTTCTTCCTCCCCACCCCCAATTAGTACTAGACTAAAATGATTCTTTGCCTGCTCCCCCTTATCAACTGTTTGTTTTTTCCCTCTTGCACCTCATTTCAAACATAGAAATGTGTTGTCCGAAGTAGCTGCATTAATCAGCTCTGTATGGTAGAAAGAGTTCCTTTCTTGGTGATGGCAGATTAATATGTGTTTACAGTTTTAAGAAACTGGTATTCATTAGGTTTTTGGAGAGAAATGCCAGCTTTCTCATTACTTTTAGGTTATATACTTGAATAACTGTGGTAGTTTAAGGTCCAGTTTTATGTACTTAAAAACAGGTTTAAAGGAGAGTTCACTAGGTGATTTTGGCACCTGCATGGGGAAGTTTCAAAGAAGTAAAATGCTCACTGTCTGTGGACTTGGAGATTTGTAAATGAAAGCTTTGTGTTCTGCTGGCTCTGCAATATTGATTTTATTCATAGACTGTTCTTGCAGCTGTTCCAGTCTTCCGAATAATAGTGATGTAGCTATATTCAGAATTTCATTTAAAATGACGTTTTTTAAGGCTTATAGACTAAATAGGAAACCTGTGCTTTTTAACTTCCATTCAATTTGTGACTTACCTGTGTATACCTCTGCCCTCCTAATAGTTTGATTTTGCATGACTAAACGAGTGACAAGAGACATTTTTCCCCCATCTCTTTTCTCTACATTTCAAAAGGGATGTTAAGACAATCTTTTGATAATATTAAGTCAAAGCTAATTTAAGCTAAATATGTCAATATCTGCAATTTTTTCATGAACTGAAGCTTCTGAAATGGAAACATGTTATTTTGGTCTCTTAAGCATAACAATTTTATTTCTTTATTTACCTCCACTTTAGAGAGCACTTCCTTTCTGAATGTGGGACATAGATGTGGAAAGTACATGTTTGTCTTTTCAAGATTTAGGTCGTCTTTACGCTGTGTAGGATTATGGAACACAAAAATATTGCTAGACTATTGTGTGGCTTTAAATATATGGGTAAACATACAGATATGCAATTAAGGTAATAAAATAGTAGCCTAATTTTATGGGTATCAGAATGAGCTCACATGGTATCTATTTACTTGTCAGCAGTCAAAACCAATGATTTTAACACGAGCCACTTCTGTGCAGTGCTGCTTCTTTGCCAAACAGATATTTAGGCCAACATAGCTTCCATATGTGTTCAGTGACTTGTTTCTACTAGGTGTTTTACCCATTGCTGTTGCTGAACAACAGTAAAATTTTTTTCACTTAGGAAAATATGTAAACATGTTTTACTGGAACTTAAATACTTTGTCGTTGGCTTTTTCATTGATACTTTTTGCATCAATAAAAATATCTGGGGGATGAGACCTCCAAAATGTATACTTATCACTACTTGTTTAAATTAAGTAAATCTTACTTAGTTAAATGCTTTTGAATTCTTTTTGTAGGGTTTAGTTTAGCAGCTTTTAAAAGGAACAAGAGGAAACTGGAGTTGGCTGAAAAGGTGGAAACAGATCTCATTCAACTAAAAAAAAGAAGACAATCACATGAAAAGGTTAGTTCTTGTTTGAAGTGTTGTGTCATCTTAAACTTACAGGTGATCACTAATAAATTTCGTGTTGTATGTCAGATGAGGCTAATGTGGCAGCAGAAGCCACTTATCTTTGATCACCCTAATGTTTAGATGGTATGATATTAGCTTAGTGTAATTAAAACTTTCTGCCTTGCTACTTGAAAAACAAACTGTCACTTTGTATCTTGTTTGTGCCATGAAAAGTATTTTGCTCATTTTGAACTAGAAATCTGACAAATGTAAACACAAACAGATAATTATTTACTGAAACATTTTCTTTAGCTTGGGATCTCTGTCACTGTTTCCCACTTTTTAATGTTTCCTGAGCGCACTGCATTATGGAGCTGGAATTGGTGAAATTTGAAATATCAGGTAGGTAAACATGTGCATCTGTGCATGCATCTAGCATTGACCTGGCCCGTATTACTTGTCCTACAAAACTATTAGGATTCCCTCTGTTCCCCTCACTCTTAGTTTGAATTTGGAGCCTTTGTTACCGTTTGAGAATGTCAATCACAGTATTTGTTGAACTGTTGAACATCAAAGTGTAGCTCATTAAATTAAATGCCTATGCTTTATTTGGGGCCTGTGGCCTTTCGGATTGGCCATTTCTCTTTGATTTGATAAGCTGACTGACCATTGCCTTATGTAGTTGCATATGTTGATAAAATAATGTATAAATCCCAGAGAACTGGCAAAAAAAGTTCATTCTCTGTAGTCTGTGCAAATGCAAACCAGTGATAAATTAGGCATTTTTCTTCTATGTTCTTATATAAGGAGTTTTCCCTAGCAAGATGCTATTTTTTCTATTTTCAAGGAGATAAGACCTGTAAAGAAAGGATAGATAGAGGGGCAAAAGTTTGTTATTCGTTTTGGAACTTTTCCTATTTACAGGACTTCACATGCCTCCTTGTGAAACTAATGGTGTTAAAATGTGACTGAGGGAGGAGGGGCCTCTGTACAGTATTGATGTTCATGTAATAAGGGGCAAGTCAATGCTTGAAACATATGCCAATGCATGAGCTTACCGACCTGCAATTTGAAATTTCAAGGGCTCCAGAGTCATGTGCAGCGCTTGTGGGAGACCCCCAAAGGCCAGTGATGGTAGGTAAAGGAGGTGATCAAATAGAGCTCTACTCACTGGTAAGTAATCCAGTAACGTAACACTGGTTTCGTCAACTTTCTGGGCACATCCTGTCCATGGAGGGGGGCTGAAGACCAAACCGTGCTAACAATGTGGATTGCTTGTTTTATCCACAGAATGTAAGATAATTGCAGCCTTACAGAAAGTTTAATTTTTCAAAATGAAATAGAAATGAAAAGTCAAATTCTACAAGAGCAAATTCTGAAAAAAAAAAAAAAGCAGAATAATTCTTTCTAAGCTATTAGGAAAGAGTCATTTAACAAGGATGAGGCACATGATCTGTCATCCCAAAACTCCAGCTGTCAAAGCTGAGCTCTCATAAAAGGTTTAAAATTAATTATTTAAAACCCATTTAAATACATCAATAATTAAAAGTTAATGTTCTTGTCAAAGTTTAACTTTAATTGATAAATACTGATTTTATTTGCTGTGCTTCCATGGAGCTGCAGACCTGTCCCATTCATTCAGGACTTGATAGCTATTTCATTGTCTAGTTTGAATCTCACCTGCTTCAACCCCATGCTTCAGCTCAGCTTACGTGCCTCTGTTGCCAGTACTGCACAGTTGTTATAAATTCTGATTGTTTTCTGTCTATGAAATTTTACAAGTTCGGAGAAGAGCAAGGTAGAAAGGATGTTAACAAAGTTGAAGTTGAATGGAAATCATAAATAAAATACCTATGTGAAGAAATAATATTGCAGATCAAAAAAGGCTGAAATTACCTGGAAGTTTTAGCTGCTGATAAATTTCACTAGCAAAAAAGAAACATACATTTTTAAATACCTCTTTTCAATGAAAGTTAATTTATACCAAGCTCAAAAAAGGAGCGATTGTTTAAATTTAATAAAGATTGTGTGGGAAAACTAGGCAATGTAATTTACTAAAGGACTCATCTTTTGAGTAAATGGAATGTTCTTTTTTGCTATATTTTTAATTGTTTACCCAGTGTAGGAATTGTAGAGGGTTATGCGATTGCACACAGGAAGATGTGTTAATAACTTCACTGAATTTTGAAGGTGTGAAAATTGAGACTTTTAAAAAGTTGTAGTGACTTCTATATTGACTTACATAGTTGATATACTTCTTGTTTCTATATGAATTAACTAAACATATTAATAGGGGGACTGGCTAAGAATTGTTAATTCAGCCAAGTGACATTCTGAAATTCTTACTTTAAGCACCAGTAAACATCAGAAGTAAATGTTTGTCATCTTACTGTTAACCTGACTTTTACCAGAGGAAATTGTCATTGAAAATAGCTTAGCAGAGTTTGGCTAAAAGCCCTATTTTTAGTTTGTCTTCTATTATAAACCTTTTTTACAGCTATGCTGAAGTGACTTGTAAGGGGAGTTGTCCTCTCCTTGATTTGAATAAGCAGCACTAAGAATTTCCAGTGCACACGAGTTTTTTTTTTTTTATAGGTTGATGTTTTGAGGTTAGTTTTTTGTAGGCTAGTTATTTAACTCCATAAATAGCATTATTTAGTTTGAGGTTTATTAAAACCATTTTGGCTTTTATCTGATTTAACATATGTAATCAAGTATGCGCACAATAATTTGGATTATGTGTGTGGAATCGGGAGTTTCATATTCTTCAGACGTGTATTCAGACAATAACACTGAACGTTTAGAAAAGGAAAACACGTCTGTCTGTTGCACAGAAATATATGCTTTTCTTTCAAGTATTTTGTGCCTTATAATTTTTGTCATTGATAGTCTTGAACGTACCATGTGAACTTTTCGCCAGTTCCAGCTTGAACTTTTTGGGTGAGCAACAGTCAATGCATAGCAATATGCATCATTCACATTATATATGGTGAATTTTAATCACTCAACTTTTGCCTCAAATCAAATTTTTTATGGCTGTGTGAAGGTAATTGTAAGTGTAGCAGTCAACTATGGTAGCCCTAGTGTCTGTCTTATTTATTCTTGCAGTTTGAACAGGAGTTTGAATTTTATGCATTTCCTTTTATTTAAAATAGAAATAAATTTTCTGTCCCCCATCCATGCTGAAATGGCCTTTGATAATAATACTTTTTAGAGTTCAAAATCCATTTAATATGGGAAAAGAAACCTAAATACTTTTCATCCATTCCAATATAAAAAACAATACAAAACAAAAAAACCCCAACAACAAACCTCACCTGTAGAATTCAGTGTGAAATAATTCCCTCATCTTGAACATGGAGGTCAGACAAAGTATTCTGTTAACACACCAAACAGCTATTAAATTGGAAAGGCAAGGGTTGTTTATCGAGCTTTATACCATTAGCTCAGAACTGCCACTTTTCAAACATAGGAATGTTGCCCCAATTGTGTATTCTGTCAAGATCAGATTGCTTTGAGAGTGCATCATGCTATGCTGTCGATTGCCCTAGAGGAAAACGTTTCTAGAAATTGGTACCCGTTCATTGGTCCCATTGTTCACAGAATAGTGATGTTTTCCCTTGACTTAGATGGATGTCTAAGAATTTCTTTAAAATATTGTAATAAATAAAACATTGCTTAAAAGATTGCCTCTCGCCTTGTTAAATACTGCTGTAATCAACAGAAGTACTTCATCAAGAACACCTTACATCTGAGATTTGTTTAAAAGACAGAAATATATTTATTGTTGATATATTATTTTCTAGATAATGCTGTCCACTATTGTGCTTCTCTCTGCTCCCACTTCATCTGGAAAGGGCCAACATGGGACATACTAGAAGATTTAATTGTTGCCCTATTCTATTTTGAGCAGGAGGATACTGTAAAACCCCATATTTTTAGGGGAATCTACTTGATCTAATTATAATCAAATACCAAATCCTGTTTATTTGTGTGGATAATTCGGAATGAGCATATAGATGTTAATTGCTTCAATCTGATTCGTTTTGCATTTTGTCAGTTATGATACTCAGAGATGAGATTCAATGGTAATTACCTGTAGTGGAATTTCAGGACAGTCTCAAGTTGAGAGGGAAAAGGCCCTGTGTGGAGATATCTTTCACAGGAGATAAAGCTCTTCTAAACTGTTAATCCCTTCCTTAGGGGTTTGTAAAATGATATTTATGGGGTTTTTTTTATGTGCAGAAAAAGGGAAGGATGAGATTTCAGAAGTACTTGATAGAACTCTCATTTGTCCAAATGAGCATCTTCCTGCTTTTTGTGCATGTTCTTAGCTAAGTTTGAATATGTGGTCCATGATCTCACGAAATTACCTTCCTTTCTTGTCACAAGGTACAAATTAATAAAGTAATGTGAGGTCTTACATTTCACACTGGGTTTCAGTTCTTTCCATGTAAAATATTAGCTACACAATAAATTATTTTTAGGTTGCAATACTCCATTGTTAAAACCCCCAAAGTACTTTCGCAATGAACATGTTAGTATAAATTATTAGCTGAGATCAGATACGGAATTTATTAACAGATATCACCAAGTAACAATCAAGTTTCCTTTGGAACTTGCAAAATTTTTAAAACTAAAGTGCTAAATTAATCAATCAAACACATAAAAAAATACAGACAAGCAAACTGAATCTCATTTAGTCCCTTTTGGACCCATATAGAATTTGGATTTACTTTAGACATCATGAATTGCAGTGTTGAACATATTTCTGTTGATTGTCTTGATACTAGCTTGACAGGATCCTGTATTTTTCAACATTCGTATGGTTTGAAGAAATGAAAAGTGTGACATTGAAAGCTGCCTCACCACTCACTTCCTCAGGCACATAATGCCTTTTTGTATGGAGAAGTATGGGAAGTTTCTTTGTTAAATTGTGATGAGCTCTTTGTTCACTGGTTCAGAAATCATAGGGCTGTCAGTAAAGTTTACATATGTAGAAGACTTAGTACTGAACTATATAATTGATTCATGGTGTGAGTGTGTGAAGTCAGTAATGTTGAAATGGGAGCAAACATAAAAATAGGCCTAGAATAGGTCTGACAATGTATTTTTCCCATTGGATATGGAATAGAACTGGTCCTCACTGGTTTTCAGTTTGTTAAGGACAGATGTAGCATCAGCAGTGATTCTTTTTCTGATCACAAAAAAATCCCCAAACTTAAATTACTGAGAAGGAAAATATGGAATTCTTTTTCTTCAGAAGGAAAATTTCCTTCGGAATGTCATGTGGGCCAGGTTAAAAAAAAATCCGTCCCATAGAAAAAGCCGTTTCCAGCCTCCTAAGTTGCCCCATCTAAAAATAAAATAAGCAAAGCAAGCAAACTGTACCACTGAATTGACAGCAAATACTGATAAGAAATTGATCTTCTTCTAAAGGAAATAATGTGAACAAATTTTCCATGCAACATAGACTTGTAAATGCTTGTGGTTTTTTGATTAAAATATCTTTTGAAAAACCAAATTAGTTATGTAGCTACTGAAGGCAAATGTTTTATGCATGTGAGAGCTAAAGTGGAAGATGGATGGCAGATTGAGCAAATCGTTTTACAGATGCTGCAAAGAAGGCTGCAAGCGTTTTTTCTCGACTGTCAGATGATATGGAAAACATACTGATCCATACTGCGCCTCATCCTTCTAAAATGTATTTCTGTTCATTATGGGAGCACCAAGTGTTTGATTTAATATGAATTAAGATTACACAGGTGGCCTTAATTCTGGCATTTCCTAACTTTGACGGGCTTGATTTTCATATCTGTAGTTGTCTATTAATCAAGTTTTTTGTTGTGGGTATAATTTCCTTTGATAAAAGGGGGCAAGGGGAGTACAACAAAACCTGCATCATATTAGTAGTTCTTCTCTGTATAGAAATCATAGCATCATAGGGAAATTGATGTTGGGAAGAGCTTTATCCAGTCTGATCTTGAAAACCTCCCAAGGATGGGAGTCTGCACTGCCAGTGGGCAGCCTGCTCTGCTGCTTAAGATCTTTTCAATCCACTGAACAGTATTGTTCTAACTGGGTTACTAATACCTGAATTAAGTTGTGTCTGGTAGTGCTGGGACATGTGAAATACATTTGCCCATGAGATGTTAAGGAAGGATTCCTTAATTTTATTTTATCTTTACAACGTGGAAGGAAACTTGCTCTTTTCTTGTCACCTTTGGTCCAGTCCTCAAAATTCCTTGTGCCTTCCTTCTCCTACCTTCCCTGATCCTGGTTTTTACCTTCCTCTGCTCTTCAACTTACTCTTCTTCCCAATGCCAGTTGAGATCCTAGGTCTATAGTTTTTCATCTCCCTTTTTCTAAGCAGTTATTCTGCTGTACTGTTAGGCCATCAGTCTGTTTGTTTTAATATTGAATATGGTTAGTGCCAACTTCTGAGTGTGGAACTTGTTCAGGAAGATCTAGGTGCAGTAAGAAAAGAATCTTACTGTTACTCTGGGTAAAATCCAAGGATGACACTCCTGCTTAGGAGTTCCAGTTGCTTGAAAAATACTATAGAACACTGTAGAGTTGCATTGTGTATTTTGCCTTTTAAGACTGGCACAGTGTTAACTCAATTGTTATTTCTTAAATTAAATGTGACCAGAGTATCATCAGCATGAGTCTCCTAAGAATTCTGCTTGACAAGTGACATTGTATGCCCAAGGAAATTTTAATAGGATGGGAGCTTGATAATTCAAAGTTGAATAGTTGGGTATAGATTTTTTTTTTTTAATTCCTCTCTCTGGATCCTAGTCCAGAAAATAAGTGTTTATATGAGTAGCTTAATATCCTTTGGGATTATTTGCTTGAGTAAGTTTATGTAGGATTTTTTAGATGCAGATAAGTTTTTATATAGGAAAGACTGATCAGCTAAAGACTTGAAGGCTTGTGCAACAGCACCGTTCATCTTTGAAGTATGGGATGAATGATATATCAGTTTTGTTTATTCATGTTATTTATGTACACTGCATGCTGTGTCCCATCAAAAGTGCATGGTTGAGCTTGAAGTCAGCGTGCCTTGGCCTAGGTTCTGCAGAGAGGGGAATCTAGGCCAGCCAAGAGAGGGGAAAACTAATCTGTCTGTTGAAGTGATTGAATGTGGTGTATTAGGGAAGGAGGGAAGGATGGAAAGATCCACGGTGAGACTGCTTGAAGTGTTTGTGAGACAGTAGGCAGAGAGCTTGCATCAGGACTGAACGCTGAAAGACCCCTGCTCTTAGGGGAGCAAATCTGCCTCAGAAGTGATGGCAGTAAGAATGCTTTTCTAGTTGACTCAGAGGGAGCGATAGGGGGATTTGTTTCAACCAGGAAGCTACTAAAGATTGCTGAACTGAAAACAAGTCTGGGAGAAAGAATCTGTCCAAGGGAGATTTCTTCTCGAGGCTTCTATTTATTGTCTTGCTCAGAATGTCAGAATTTTCTCTTTACATGGTGAGCTGCATCTTGTGGCTTTTTTTTTTTTTTAATTATTATAAATAGCTTTAAAGACCAAGAGTTTCTGAAAATGCCACCTTGAAGCTTTTGAGAAAGGCCTTTTGATGCAGCATCTTTGGAATGAGTTGCTGAATTATTTCTTAGTGGACAAGTGCCCACCACTAAGAAAAGAGCATTTTTGGCACTTTTGTGAGTAAAGGCAGGTAATCTGAGCATTGGATGAGTTCCGAGATGTTTATTACCTTGTTTCCAGAGAGGTTTTCTTCAGGTCCTATCTGAGGCAAGAGAGCGTTTTGGAAGTATTTGCAGTGGTACAATATGCATGATAGCAAATCTGTTTTGTTGATCAGCCTGTCACTTAGCTTTGTGCACGTTAGTTTGCACGCTCCTAAGAATTATAACCTGACTTTAATATATTATTTTTAGTAGTTGTTTCTGTTTGTGTGTCCTGCAGGAGAATGACTCAGGAACATTGGATACGGTTGGTGCGGTGGTTGTTGACCAAGAAGGAAATGTTGCTGCTGCTGTCTCCAGTGGAGGTTTAGCACTAAAGCATCCTGGAAGAGTTGGTCAGGTGATTATACCTTTTTATTTGGGAATGGTTGCTCAGCAATTGTGACACTAAGCAAGAGCCGTGATAGCAAATTGATGTTCTCCCTTCCTTCACTTAAAACTCTGAAGGTATTATGACTACATTGGAATGTAAGTTTTGGTTTTAATGTCCTCCATCAGTGTTATAAAACATTGATAGGTAAGAAGTTGTTCTGTAGTTAATTACCTTTTGTCAGAGCTAGTAATAAGCTAATTTATTTGGCTTAAATACCTCCTTAATAGCGCAAATAGTCTCTTAAACGCTTAGAGTGTTTTTAAATAAGATTTTCATCAATCTTTAGGGAAGCTGTCCTAATTAATTTTTAGATGATCTTGTGAATTGGTAGAAGTGGCAAAGGTATTAAAAGAACACATCAGGTATAGGCATTCCTTATTGTTATTAGGTGAGCGAATTGTGAGGTGCATCAGAAATGTCATACTCCATTGCTGTACAGCTGTATTTTTGGTTGACTTTTGCCACTGTCCTAAAAGCAGTTCTTTTGAAATGTGTCTAAGATTTTCTTTTGGAATAGCAGAGTGAAAGAGATTTTATATAAATAGGGAACAGCTGGAATTACTTTGTCTTTTGATATCTGTACCCTCATTTTCTGTAAAGTTGGGTTAGAGTACCATGCACCTGTGATAGTCACTTAGTTCTGAAGAATAGTAGAAGACGTAGCAAAATGGATCAGAATTGCGCTTTTAACTGTTACGATTCCCTTTATCTTTTGTGTTAATACTTGGATTTTTCTTGAGTTTCTTTTTTTGTTGGTTTAGGATTTTTTTTTAGTGTTGTGCTTTCTAAGGGAAGGGAACAAACCCAAAACCTTACATACTTAAATTTATGAAAGATGCACTTCTTTCCTTAGGCAGCTCTTTATGGTTGTGGCTGCTGGGCTGAAAATACAGGAGCTCATACCCCTTACTCCACTGCTGTGAGTACTTCAGGTATTTGCTACTTTTATAAATATTTCAAAAAGTTGTTTTCTTTCTCTGTAATTAGTTTACAAATTCCAAATAAACTATTCATATGAGTGGTGAATTAAAGTATTAACAATTATGTTATTTCCAGACTATATTCTACATGTGTATCATTTATTTACACATAAATACATATCTCTGTCATATATATGTCAATATTGTCTTGAAATCTGTGAATTATTCTCTGTTGGTTGCTTACATTGGTCATGTTACTTAAAAAAACAAATTAACAACCATGTGAACTTTTATCCTATTCAGAAGATTTTGTATTGCACTGAAAGGATGTACTCTATTTTATTACGTATTAAGGGACTTGTCCTTCTGTAAAGAAGTGCTGTTATAAGCCTAATATTGTGTTAAATACAGAATATTTCTGTGACTGGAAGCCTTCTGTGAAGGACTAAGATAATTAGGGGGCCCTTTAACTTAAGAGGACCCCTTCAATACAAAAATGCTAAAAAATTGCATTTCCCCCTCCAAAAATATTTTAAGTGAATGTTTAAGTGAATTTGTTTTTCATCTCTTCTTCTGAAAAGGAAGGGCGAAAAGGCAGAACTGAATGGCTAGAGTTTCTTGGAAAACAATTATTTAGAAATTGTGAAAGTAATGTAAGAATTGAGGTAGCTTATCTTCCATTTAAGGAGTCTCAGGATCCTGAACACGCCAACGTATTTTGTTCGTCCGGTGCCTGTCAGCCAGCTGTCACTCAGAGCTGATCAATCAGTTGGTGTGCTGAGTACCAGAGAAACCAGTTGTAAAATCAAGTTTGTCAACGGATCTACTAAATGTAACAAGACTGAAGACATAGTAAAAATTAGAAAAAAAGGAAAAAAACCCCACCACATAAACAAACCAACCAAAAGATAACTAGGAAAATAGCTCATACTACGAGACAAGATTTCAGAATGTAAGACAGGATGTTTTTAACTTGTCAGGAACAGACAGTGAGAAGATAATTGCATTGTTACACAATACCAGGTGAATATTTTAGAACACAAAAGCTTTAAGGTGAAGTTATGGGGGAGTGACTTTTACTTTGTGACTTGTGCATAAAAGCAGTTGAAAGGACTGCATTTAATCTCTTTTTTTTTTTTTCCTAGTTGTATGAACAAACTCAAATAGGAAACTGAATTGTGACACTTTTTTTGTAAATGCTTATGTCAGGATGTAAAATTTCTGATCTGGACTACTGTTTAATGGTCAGTTATTAGCGTTTGATATAGGGAGAGGTAAAAAAAGTCTGCAGAGTTCAGATTTAGGTGATATAAACTATATCCCAAGAGTACTGCAGAATTAGAGTCCTATTACAGAAATAGTGGGGGGAGCAAGGTAGCAGGGTGTAGAACTAAAATTTGACAGAGGCTGTAGAGCATCAGAAATATCGTTTGCTGCTTTTGAACTTCTATAGCTTTCTAATTTCTCTTACGTTCAAGTCTTGTTTCACACTGTTGAAAATTTGTGTAGATATTCACCCTTAAGTTCAATGTTAGTGATAGCAAGTGTACTTTTTAGTATTTATGCAAAGGAAAGTCCTACTGAATACAGAAGTGTCAAAAAACTTTCTACTTGGGGAACACCGTGTTGATTTTAGTTTAATAATTGCTTACCTGTGTAAACAAATATATTTAAATATTACAGTATTGGGGAACATAATAATTAGTGAGTATAAGTTCAATAGAATCATAGAATGGTTTGGGTTGGAAGGGACCTCAAAGATCATCTAGTTCCAACCCCCCTGCCATGGGCAGGAAAACCCCTACACCAGGTTGCCCAAAGCCTCATCCAGCCTGGCCTTGAACACTTCCAGGGATGTGGCATCCACAGCTAGAGATTGTTTGTGGAAAAGCTGAGGACACCTTTATTTAATTTTTTAAAACTGTTCTTTACAAAGCCAGCTGGATTTCAAGTCTATGCAAGTACAGGCAAGCATGCTGATATACTTAAAGGAGATATCTGGGTTTAATGATGGCCTTAAATAGAAATCTCCTTTCTTTTTGCTGATACCAATTTTATAGAGTGGTAAATACTTTAATGTTATACTATTTATAACTATCACAGGCACGCACACATACATATGTGTGTGTGTGTATATATATATATGTTTCTTTGGTTCAAATCTCTAGCTTCCATGACGTTACATTAATACTAATCCCAGTTAATTGAAATAGACTGCTGGCGGTCTATGAAGCATGGCCATCTGTTTATGCAGTGACTTGAAATTCAGACTAGTGGTGTTTAATTAAACTCTTGTTTCTGACTTTCCTTTAAAGTGTGTGTGTGTGAGAGAGAGGAGATAGAAATGTTTACAGGAAGTGAGAACTCTTCTGTAATCAATACCATTCTCTTTTCCATTTTCAGAAGCTCATAATGTTTTATTTTATAATGTAATTTATATGTAGTGCAGTTTTAAAAAATATTGATGCCTGACTTTTGTTTAAAATATGAGTATCCAACAACATGAACCATGAAGTTAATTAGGGGGTAGAGGGGTGGAAAAATTAAATTATAGGAAAGGTTGAAAGAATGAAACTTACAACTTGGCTGGATCACAACAGGAAGATGGGAATGGGGGCATAAACAGCTGCAAATATTCAAAAGGTGAAATTGCCAAGGCTAAGCAAGAAAATAATATATTAACATATGTCATTGTTGGATGAAGTTTTTAGAAAATAGAGCTACTACCTGAACTCTAGAAAATGCCTTGATTAGGAAAGTGCTAAAATTGACAGTGCTTCCTAAGAGAAGAGAAGTGATGTCACTTGGTGTGCCTAAAATCAGACTGGACTGTATTGGTAATAGTGATTACAGCTCCCTCTTTTAGGTTTCTAAATTGGTTTTGTGAGGACATATATCTTAAAAAAAACAGCAACAAATGAAACTTGCACATTATGTATAAATAAAAACTTTGTGTATGCACATTTCGTGTTTCGTTTTACATACAGGCGTATACGCTTGTATGTGAAAGCATTTAAAATATTCACGTAAAATAATTGAAATTTACAATCAGTTTAGGTTTCTGTGGTTTTCACTGTATAACATTTTATTGTTTTAATTTCACGTCTTTTCATTCTAAGTTGTCTTTAAGTGCTAAATTTGGCACAAATTTATCCTAATATTTTCTCCAGGGAATTTTTTTCTGTTGTGTGGGGGGGGGGGCGGAAAAAGAAGAAAATTAGACTTTGGTTGCTGTGTGTATTGAGTACTGTATGTGTAGACTTTTAATATTGTTAAATGATTTCACAGAATGGTTAATCAAATCAAGTTTGGAATTTAAAAAAAAAAATCTTGAATAAAGAGAAAATTTTAAGTATGATTCCCTTAAAGATTTATCAAAACTATGCTCTAAATTATTAATATATGTTAAACAAAACAATTTTAACTTAAAGATTCTTTGGGAAATAAAAGGTTTCACATTTGCGCTGTTTTAGAATTTTAACTTTTTGTAGTGACAGCTGGGGATTGAAATGCAAGCCTTGTTATATCAGGCTCTATATTCAATCTTGAAAAAGGCTGTTCTTTGCCATTAGTTTCCTAGAAGCAATTTTAAAGGGCCAGGTTCTGTAAACTATTTTGATTCCGTATTTATGAAATTGTTCATGTCTGAGTTTTAGAGGCTATGATCAGCAAGAGATTGAACAAGTTGGAGAGTTTGGAACAGTAATTCCAAGTATGCAGAATACAAACTCTTGCGCGTTGAAATCCATGTGGAATTGGCAGGAATGTAAGACTGGACACATTGAGTCGAACCAGAGCTCCAGATAGTTTGGTGTCCTGTTTCAGATAGCATTTGCAGATCTCCAAGGAAAAGTAGGGGACTGGGAAAAGTACCTCCACTGTGTTATCCAAGCTTCAAGCACTTTGTGATATTAGGACTTTATAAACTGGAGATATCCTTGTTTTTAGTAGGTCAGGATGACTTTCTCAAGGTTTCTCATTTCTTTTCTTTCTTAGAAGACCAGTTTTTTTAATTTTGCTGGGAATATTTTTCTTTTTCTGTGGTGGTTTACCTTTGTAGAAGGTGGTTTACCTTTTTTCTTGGAAGAAGAAAAGTGTTAGTTTAAATGCCACAGTTAGTAACACGGTAGGTTTTATTCTTAAAATTTTATTAATTCTGTTCTAAAATCTTTCTGTTGAAGCTGCAATTGGAGACATATCTTTCGATATTTTCTTCATTAAAAAAAAAAAGGAAAAAATAAAAAAGGGCGTCACCATAAAAGTACTTCATTAGAAGTACTTCCAAATTCATGTAGTTTTCTTTTAATAGTCATGTATTATTTGAAGACATGCTTTTACATCTTGATCTTCTGTTGGCCCTGTGGATGCTGGCAGGCTTCCTGCTTTTGTGTGTTCAGGGAGGATTTGATATTAGTTCTTATGCCTTTAGCAAGTTGTTTCTCAACTATATTTGGCCATTTTTATGATGATTTTTATATTGAGTGTGCCAAAGGTGATGGTTCTGAACTTGTTTGGGCATGACTTCAACTTTTTGAACGATGTTTTCTTACCTCTAACAGTCTCTTGGCCTTGTTGTTTAGCCACGCTGTCTTTGGTTTTATTTTTTTTGGCTTTTCAAAAGTTACTTCATGGTTTATGAAGTACAGGATATTATAAAACTCATATTTTATGGCTATAGCTTAACAAGGGATGGGAGAAATGAAATCCGAAGATGAAGACTTTCTAAAGACAGGATGGGGGACACAGTGGAACTTAGGAATGACTGAATATCAAGGGCCTTAAATGCAAGGTTTATTCTGTAACTAAAATTCAGTTTCTGTGTAAACAAGTAAAATCTTTCTCATTTTTTAATATTGATTTCTGGAGACATTTCAAGGTATGAACTCTGAATTATATTAAAATTATTATTTTTATTTTTTGAAAAATATGTTTGTTGGACTTTATTGGCAACTGAAGGATAAACATTACAGGAATTCTGTAAGTATCTCAAAACCAGTATTAAAAGTCAAGAA